ATATATATATATTGTGTGTGTGTGTGTGTGAAAATTCAATTATTTAAATTTATATATTTAGTATTTTTTTTCTTTATAAAGTGAACTATATCAACCAAATATTCTAGGTTCGGTTCAATTTTTTTGGTTTAAACAAATTAATTCACACCCCTATCTAGGGCTTAAAACATAAAAGGCGGATTAGAATATTGTTTTTGGGAATGTAACTAACTTGGTTTTATTTTAACTATGGGGAATCAAAGTTTCATATGAATACAAACCCTTGAGTTAATTACATCTTAGGTTCAATGTCAAGAATGCTATCAATTAAAGAAGTTAATTGTGCTTTGATTCGTGGCTAGAGGTTTTAAATTTTTCGGCGTTAGGAAAAAAAAAATCCAAATTTTATGCAAAAGTATTAACTCTTGAGAAAAATAGGATGAATAAATAAGATGAACCATGAAGTAATCATAAGGGATCAAGCAAAGACAGAACACAAAAACTTACATCATTCGACTTAAATAAGGAAGCTCGTCAACCCTTCCCAATTCCCAAGTACACCCACAAATAATAAACAAGCCCAAAACAATATTCCCACATACAAGTTTACCTTTCAATAGATAGTCACCGAGATAAAGTCGGTCAAAATCCATGTTTATGACCAAACGAAGATTGAAATCTTACAGTCTTCAATTTTTTGTCGCTCAACCATATCGAACTTTTGTGAGTCAACCATTTTTACACATTGCCCGATATGGATCGAAGAAGCCAAGTTTCATAGGCTCGAAAACTAATATGAACCATTCGATCATAGACAAACTACGGATGGTGGAACACAAAGAACCAAGTTTAACCAAAATATTAGTAGATGAACATCTACTATAATTTCAGAAAATTTTATTTCACTTTCAATATGAGCCTATTTTTTAAACAGATCCTACCTTTAATACCTTTAATACCTTCATTCCATTTGAAACGTCAAACCGTTTGTATGCATCGTGATATTCATGTCATCCAACAAATTGATTTATTATAAGATCTTAAAACCACATAAAACAAACTAACAAAGTTGGTTCCAGAGCCTCTCAATCATACAAAAGTGCGCATGAGATTAATCACAAAGGTTCATAAAAGGTTGGAAGATTTACATACATACCAATCAATTCGTATGTATTTACATATCTAGCAGTTCAATTCCTTAACATATATGTCACCTTACCTATGCATCAGAAGGCATGTTTCACTTTTGAATGTTAAAATGGTGGTGTTTTTGAAGTGATGTGAAATATTTGAGTGGAACAAAATGTAAAAAAGCAAAAATTTAGATGTTAGAAATGTAAATACATAGTAATCGGGTGGTATGTATGCAACTATTGGTGCTCACCTCGCATTTGAAGTAGCTCCTCCTCCGACCTGCACTGCAAAAACGAAACGACACTCATAAATCCCTCAAAATCACTACAATCTACATCACTTTCTCCCCTGTTGAACTCTTCCTCACCAGAAAATAGGCGAATCCGTCTCCGTCGGGAGAATATCGAGGTACGGTCGCCACGAGGAGGCGACACCCATGGCCTTCTCTCTTAGAAGGAACAGCGCGATGGCGACCCATGGTTTCAACCCGAGGGTCACGGGTCCAATTTCCGAAACCGATACTGTGTTGGTGTCGATCCAGAGCTTCTTAGGAATCTCAGCAACCACTTCATTCCGCAGCATGTCACGCTCAGCCATAAGCCCTAGGCCTTCCGGCACGAGAGCAGGCCTCACCGGCGGCGGAGGCTGCGGAATGGCGCCGCTCTCGCGGAGCCATCGCCAGAAGTCGGAGATTGCGGAATCGGATGGAAAGGGTGCGGCGACGGCGGCGAAGGCTGCGGCGAGTTTAATGTTTCTTTGTTGGAGTTTGGTTGGGGAATGTCCAGAGAAACTGAAGGCGGGGATGGGAGTAGAGGAATGGGGGAAAGAGAGAGGAGATGGAGGATGGAAGGAGAGGTGGAGCAACGCCATCGTTAGCTGCTGCGCAGCTGCTGATTTGCTTGTTTCGCAGAGAGATCAGAGATAAGCATGGATAGTATATCCGCTTTATGTCCGCTACGAGCCGAACACGAGTGAGTCATGTTCAGCGGCTCGTTCAAGCTCAAAAATTGTATTTGTGTTCGGCTCATTTGCTTAACGAGCAGAACACGAGCTGTTTATGAATAAAGAGTCCTTTTAACAGCCCTAATCATTTAATTATAAGATGATAGGAATTTGAGCAAGATTTAAAAATTATTATTTATATTAGAACATCATTTGAATCTAATTTAAAAATTTTTATTCTATTTTCGTAATCAATATTTTAATTATTTATAAATCTTTGTAGCTTGCAGTCAATTAGATTTTTTTAAAATACTACTTTT